ACAGCTCCTCTGTCACGAAGGGCATGAAGGGCGACAGCAGCCGCAGGCTGACGTCCAGGCAGGTGTAGAGCGTCTGGCGGGCACACTCGGTGGCCAGTGGGTCCGCCCCATTCAGGGTGGGTTTCAGGCACTCCTGGGGAGGGCAGAGCAGCCGGCTCAAGACCCAGCCTCCCTGCACCAAGGGCCGGAGCGGGCCGGCTCGGGGCTTGGGGAGGTGGGGTCCCTGCACCCCAGGCTTCTCCTCACCAAGTAGACGTCACAGAGCTCGTATAGCCAGAAGCTGTACTGGGCCGTGGTGACAGCTGGGAAATCATAGGCCCGGAAGCCCTCGTTGCTGAGCCTCACAGCCTCCGCCAGCCTGCTGAGGATCCAGCGGTCCACCAGGCTCTCGCGGCCTCCAGGCTGGGGGAGGAGGGAGATCATCCAGCAAGGCCGCGGGGGTAACTGTCCGTCCCGGGCTGCGGGGAGGCCCCTCGGGACAGGGAGGGCTCCCGACCCCCAGCCCAACGCTGGCACAGCACAGACAGCGCTTAACGTGGGAAGGGCCAGAGCGCACCTGCATGCAACCCGCCAACCCTGCCACCCACCAGGGCCTCACCGCAGAGGTAGGTGAGGGCACAAAACCCTTCCCGAGGCCTCGGAGAGCAAACTTGGTGGCATTCCAGAGCTTGTTGCAGAAGTGTCGATAGCCCAAGATCCGGTTCACATCCAGGTTGATGTCCCGCCCTGGGAGCGGGAGATGCGTGAATCTTTCCCACCCCGCCAGGGCCACAGGATGCCCAGGGCGGAGCACGGGGGTGAGCCTTGAGGGAGGAGGTGGTGGTGGAGGGAGGTTCTGGGGGACCTACCTTGGGAGGTGTAGGCACAGAGGCCAAACCGGAGGGCATCGGTGCCACACTCAGGAATCCCAGCCGGGAAGTCTGCCTTCTGTGGGGAGGGAGGCAGCGCTGTCGTGAGCACCGCCCCCTCGTCCAGCCCCCATGCTCTGCCCCTCGTACCTGTCCTTCTTTAGCTTTCTCCACCTCGCCGGGATCCAGGTTGCTGTTCAGTAACTGGTCGTGGAGGCCCTGAGGGTGGAGGTGGGGCAGTCAGGTGGTCACGGCCACAGCGCCACAGCCGATCCTGGCTGCCCGAAACCCAGCCCTACCTGCAGGGAAACTCCATGGATGACGTCTAGGGGGTCGATGACGTTCCCCAGGGACTTGCTCATCTTCCGGCCGTGCGCGTCCCTCACAATGGCATGGAGGTAGACCTGTGGGGCAGGTGTCGGAAGGTCCCCTCCGGCCTCCACGTCCCCCACCAGGTCTGCTGCACTGTGAATCTCAGGCCCCACCAAGCCTCCCCACCCGCCCAGAGCTCCTGAAGCCTGGGTCTCGCCTTCACCTCTCTGAAAGGCAGTCTGCCGGTGAGCTTCAGGCCAAGCATGACCATCCGGGCCACCCAGAAGAACAGGATGTCGTGGCCGGTCTCCAGCAACGTCCCCGGGTAGAACACACTCAGGTCTTCTGACTGGGGGACAGAGCAGGGTATAGAGGGGAGCCAGCACCCCTAAGGCCCACCACAGCCCAGCCGGCCCCAGGCACACACCTGGCTGGGCCAGCCAAAGATGGAGAAGGGGAAGAGGCCGGAAGAGAACCAGGTATCCAACACGTCCTCATCTGAGGGAGGCCAAAACCAGTGGTGAAGGAGCAGCAGTACGCTCAGAGCCCAACTCTGCCCTCCCGGCCAGCTGGCCCCGCCTTGCCTTGCTTGAGGGTGATCTTGTCCGGCGACACCCCGAACTCCTTGGCTGCCTTCTCCTGGGCCTCTGCCTCACTGCGTCCACTCACCCAGTAGCGGCCGTCAGGGTCCTGCCCCGGCACGGGTGTGCTGAGAACCCACGGGGCCCCCGCCTTGCCTGTCCCCTGCCCCCAGGAACCCAGCTCTGGCCCTCCTCACCTCCCCGGGGGACACTGCTGGGTCCTGGACAGTGACGAAGTAGGCCGGGATGCGATGGCCCCACCACAGCTGCCGGGAAATGCACCAGTCCCTGCAGGCGGGGCAGGGCTGTCAGGGAGGCTCAGGGAGCCCCTGCCCAGCCCCTACTGCAGGCGGGGCAGGACTGTCAGGGAGGCTCAGGGAGCCCCTGCCCAGCCCCTCAGCCCCTCATCCAGCTGCCCCGCACAGACAGCCCCACACACCGGATATTATCCATCCAGGAATGCCACGTCCGCTGATGGGCCTCAGGCAGGATGCGGAGGTCGCCTCGGGTCACGGCCGCGCTGGCAGCCTGGGCCATCTCCCCACAGCGCACGTACCACTGCGGCCTCAGCAGAGGCTCCACCACATCCTTGGAACGGCTGGGGTGCGAGGTGGAACCAGAAGTCAGCACCCCGAGAAGTCCCTCCTGGCCCCCCGGGTCCCCCAACCTCACTTGCAAAGCGGCACCACCATGGGGTTGTCCTGCACACCCCGGAACAGTCCCCGCTCCTTCAGGGCCGCCAGCACTGCCTTCCTGGCCTCAAACCTGGGCAGGCCCTGGGTGGGAGAGGCCTCGTCACGACTATGCCCGGGGCCCCCGCTTGCCCCGTCCTGTGCCCCACAGCTGGCAGCCTCACCAGGAAGGGAGGTGGCACATTGACCAGGGCTCCCCGGGCGTCCATGATGCTGATGGCCTCCAGCTGGTGCCGCTGGCCCACCTCGTAGTCGTTCTGGTCGTGCGCAGGGGTGATCTTCACAGCACCTGGGCACACAGGGAATGCTGGGGTGCCAGGGGCTCCAGGGCACCTTCCCACACGCAGCCCCACACTCGCGTCGCGCTGAAGGACATGCCCGGACCAACCCAGCCCCTCGTCCCCCGTATCTGTGAACCGGCTCTCCTCCGAGACAGGTGGGGCCGCGTGCTTCATGCTTGTCTCTTCCTCTCTCGAGACCAGCTTCCCGCTCACCTGTGCCAAACTCCATATCCACAAAATCATCAAAGACGACAGGGAGGCTCCGAGACAGGAATGGGTGGATCACGCTCTTGCCCTTCAGGTGCTTGGGACAGAGAGAGACGTCACAAGCAAACACAGGGCTGGGCCAAGTCGCTTCCATCCCGGGCCCTGACCAACCCACAGCCACCGGCTCCCGGCCCCGACAGCGCCACCCTCCGGTCTGGGAAACGAGCCAGCGTCACTTAACTCCCTGGGGTCAGCCCAGGCTCAGTCCCGGCCCACCAGCACCATAGGCGAGAGCCCTTCCAGGCTGGCACTTTCCCCAGCTTGGACAGTGCCCACCCCACCTGGTATCTGGGGTCTTTGGGATGCACACCCTTCCAGGGGCACTTTCCCCAGCTTGGACAGTGCCCACCCCACCTGGTATCTGGGGTCTTTGGGATGCACGGCCACTGCCACATCGCCCAGCATGGTCTCAATCCGGGTTGTCGCCACCACCACCTCTTCGCCGCTGTCTGGGGTAACAGAGGCTGCAGGGGCTCAGCCCTGGGCCTTCCCTTCTTCCCTGCCCCACCCAGCCCAGAGTCCTGGTGCCCTGGGCTCCTACCTGAGCCCTGGACCTTGTAAGCAAAGGACACCAGGACTCCAAACTCCACCTTCTCCTTGTAGCCAGGCACGGAGAGCAGGGTGCGACCCGTCAGCTCCTTCTTATCCACCTGTAGGATGGGTATTTAGGGAGCTGGAGCTGGACCTGGAGCGAGCGCCGGGACAGACTGAGGCAGAGCCGGGGGCAGGCAGTGTACCTCGATGTCGGAGATGGCGGAGTTGAGGGTGCAGGACCAGTTGACCAGGCGGGTGCTGCGGTAGATGACGCCTTCCTCGTGAAGCCGGACAAAAGCCTCCGTCACAGCTGCCGACAGTTTCTGGGGTGGAGCAGGGGAGACTCAGAGAGCCGGGCCTGAGAGCCTGGAGGCCGAGGCAGACACGCAAGGTGGCAAGGTCCAGGGAGGCCTGTCCTGCCAGAGTCCCCAGATGCACAAGGACTGCTTTGAGGGAGAAGTGCAGGGGACAAGTCTGGTGACGCTGGGACGGTGAGGGAGCTGGGTCAGGTGTGGTGCAAGGCATCCTGGGGGTTCCGGCATCATGGGAGGGGAGGCCAAAGAAATGAGGAGCGGAGCCCAGAGGGAGCGGGACAGAACGTGAAGGGCCACGCCTGGGGCAGGAAGTGGCACTCGTAGCTGAGCCTGCGGGTGTCCTAGGACAGGGCTCCCCTCCTAAGGGAAGGTCAAAACAGGGTCCCCTGCAGAGCTGTGACCCGGGAGCCTCCCATTCCCACCCCAGCCCAGAGACCCCGCCCTACACACAGGGTCCATGGT